TCTGCTTAGCGCTACTTGTATGACTAAACTATAAAAATTATGTACTTTTGATTGAAAAGTTCACGACAATAAATCAGTGATATAGATACAGATACCCAGTCTCCCTGTGACCACGGCTGCTGAAAAGTTTAAGACATGTAGGGCCGAAGTTAAAAATCATTTTCAAATAAGTTTAACTAAGATATCGCGTTTTAAACTGTTAAAGTGTTTTATTTAAATGTGTAATACTCGCGTAAACTATTGACAGTATTTAGACATAGATATGTATGCCACATAAAAAAATGTATATTTAGCGTATATTATAAATATTATATGGTACAACGATAGAGATATCGCGTATTAAAAAAAATACCGTCATTATATTGACGAACCAGTGCTGCGCAGGTCCCAAATTATCAGAAACGGTGTCTCGGCGCTTGCGCTCTACTTGCCTTCCGGGGCAACAGGTCAGATGCGATACCCAATTCACGTCGATCCAATAAATTAATCCTTTTTCGTATCTATACTTTTCGTTTTCTTATTCGTAGCTACGGACGAGTGTATATATATTTATACGTATAATTTCAATATAAGTTGTAATTTGATTAATATTTTCGCGTTTTAAACCGTTTAAAGTATTTTAATAAAATGTTCACCAAGCCGGAGGAATATTTTTCGATACTAAATTAATACAATTGTGTAAATGTGTCTAAAAAATAGTGTAAATTGTCAAACTGTTACAAATAATGTATTATCTAAAGAATGCAACCGTCTTGCTATTTTTGAACAAAGATGCCGTGACAAGAATTACAACTTAATACCGACTTCTTTTCGTGATAAAATACAATTGCAAGTTGCAGGTTTATTAAGATAACCCCCCCCTGAGTGATTGTTTCTAAACAATTGTTGACCAAAATATTTACCTCTGCTACTGGTACCTTTTATACTACAACCAATTGTTCAACCTGTCTACGCACTTGTTCAATTCGGGATTTATTGCCATAAAACGAAGAGAGACAGCGATGCATTCTGGACTGTATATAATTGAAGCAAGATTGGCTTTCAAATGTAGATATGTCAAATGTTTCATAAAATACTGTGATTCCCAAGAACGAAATGGTTAACCAATTCGTCAGGTATCTTGGGTGTAAGACACAAGATAGTTTTGGATTTATGGTTGTTTAGCTATTCTGTATGAAAAAGTTTAAGGTGGTAAGTTTGATAAACTGCTAGAGGGTAGATAGGAAGTAGTAATAATTTGAAAATGTCAAGATTTAATTTCTTCATTACTGCATTTATGCTAAAGTAGTGTTAAAAAAGTAAAAATTTTAATCGATTAATAAAGAACAACATATAACAAAAACCATAATTATTTTCATTTTCTAATAAATTTATTTCTGTGTACATTGACCTCTAGCGTAATATCTATATATTAGACGAAGAGAATTGTCACTACGTTAGTAAGAAACGCTTCAAAACTTTACTAGATGGCGCTTTAATAAAAGTACAAATTTGTCTTATAACAGAACATAGTTCAGTAATATGACTCTAGAGAGCGCTTTGAACAACGATTAGAAACGAATCTGTATAATCGGTTTTACTAACCAATAAATAAAATTTTATTCTATACCATTATTTCCATTTACTTTATTACGTCTTGTAAGAGAATTCTATAAAATTGTATTATTGTGATGCCTAACTAATAATAATGTAAACGAATGGCTTAGCTAATGTATTGTTTTGAACAATTAAATAACTGTGACCCGTGACTATATAAATGTAACGATCACAAAAGCACTACATACATTAGTAATTTAGCACAAAAAACTTTCAGATCAATTTCTAGATTATGATTATGTTCATTATTTATAATAATATGAACAACGAATTGTTTTAATGGCATAGTTACACGTTACGATCTTTTTGTGTTAATTTTTTGGAACAATGAAAGCAGTGTTAATCGTATATCTATTTTCTAAGTATAGCATATTGAAGCTTCTGATGCAAAAGCTAAACCTAACACTAACACAGGACCCATATTAAAAAGTGAATCTCGTTCCTCCCCTGAGGCAAACACACTCTTGTGGCCGTTTCAATGATCCGTTTTATTTGTTGTTTGAAAACTTTAATATTTTTTACATGTTATTGCACATGAAGGCACTATATAATATAAAACCCGAAAAGAAATCGAAAATATTTTCGACTCGGCAGGACTTGAACCAGCATGACCAGCGTTCCGTGCTGTTGCTCTACCAATTGCGCTACCGAGTAAAGCGAGACAACCGAGAGCAACAGCATGTAACGCAGACGATGCCGGTTCAAGTCCTGCCCGAGTCGAAAAAATTTCTATTTATTTTCGATTTTTAAATTGATCTATTATTTCCCAGAAATACGAACCCAGGACATCAAGCGCTTAACGCAATGCTAGCGCTTAGCGCAACCTTTAATCATTTACTTACAGGACCTATGCTATGTTACCTAATATTCTTGATACGTTAATAATGATTCGTGCATTCACAATTGCATGAGTATTGTATCAATTTCCTTTTAAAAACACGATTTAAGGAAGCTGTAGAGGTCAGTAACCGGCAGAACTAATTGCCCATCAATACTAAATGACCATATAATTAGTATTGACCGGTCGCATCCCTACTATAGCGTCCTTAGGGTTCACTGACCTGAAGTTCTTGAGATTAAGAGCTTTTGACACTGTTTTGTACATAGTATAATCGAGACTGTAAGGCAAGCCAAGATATTTTGTGCCTTATATATTACCATTGTAATATCACACGATACATTATTTTTAACTTCAAGAAACGATAATCTTATAACATTTGTATTATTTTTTCATATTTGTAAGGATATACTTCGTCGTCTATGGAACCATTTTAAACTATTCTTTTTTTGTAAGAAAGTAGATCTTTCCAAATTGATTCCGATTTAAGAAAATCAGGGTGCGTTATCGCAAACTAGAAAAAATCGTATGGACTATATATGGATCCGGCTCTAACATTGTAGGTATTTTGAAAACATTTATAAAATCATAAAAATACGTATTTCTTTGTGTGAAGTTCCTTTTTTTAATTTTTAATCTTAGTTTCGAACTCATGTTATGTATTTTATTTTCATTATTATTTATTCTCTATTTTGTGTCTTATAATATACATACTTCATAGCGGCTTCGTCTAGCTTTTAAAAACATTTTTCTATCGCTAATTGTATTATAATTAACTTAGCTGTTTTGGTATCTGAAATATATTTGTTAAAGTTAATAATATTAGAAGATATTATATGTATATTACTAAATTGAATATTTTGTAAGATTTAGGTATACTACAGTTTAATTTTAAATTGACTCATTTAGTTACGATTTCAATTATTATTAAAAAAAAACATTATTCTTATTTCTTAATCAAACTTTTTGAAAGTAAAAACCCAAAACGTCGGGCCGAGGTTAAAAATAATTTGTAAACAATTTTAAGTAATATACTTATTACGTGTTTTAGCCTGTTAGAGAGGATTCTAGAATATTGTGTTTCGAGTACCTAATTTGTTTATGAAGGGTCATTTGTTACCTGTCCGAACCGTTACGCAGGGCGACCCAACAGTCAGGTGGGTTAGCATTTGTTATTTCGGTTAGAGGCGAGTACAAACACTGTGTTTAAAGCAAACAAGAATTTGTAATAAAATACGCGATTCACATCAAACTCGTTCCCAAAGGACAATAAAAACGCATGACGTCAAAGCGAAATTAAAATGCTGCTATTTACAAGTCGGTGCGTTAAGTATTCTAAGCCAAAAAACTAATATTTAAAACACACATTATCTTAATTATTTTTTTGCCTAGTTACAAACCGGTGCCGTAATGAATATTAATGCTCTTAAAATCTGTGTGTTGTAGAATTCGACATCATTTGTTGAAAATGTCATAAACATCTTTGACCTCTGTCGTATTTGAAACTGGTAGAGAATATGATTAAAATTTCATCGACATTTGCAGCGACGTAAAGAATTCTTTGTTTAATTTTAAGGCGCACAGATCCTCCTGCTTAAAACTTTTATAAACCTTATGGTATAGTGTATTTTTTCTAAGTTGGCAGAAAACTCAACAAATATGGCTGATTTCAAACCATAGGGACTTAGTGATGCCCTTTTATACAGTGTAGCCATTGCCACAGATAACATGGGTTAAAGAAATATCCCTTATATATCAACGGCCAAACGACCTCAATATTCTACATCACTTTAATGAATCCTATTTTTTAATTTTTTGGTATCATTATTATTTAACTCGACGTCTGTAACGCTTTCCAGCGATCGTGCATGAGTCGAACTTTTACTAATATCTAATATCGTTGACTTCGCATGCATCCCAATTTTTCCAATCATTCAAATTTTAGTCTGTGCATATCAGTAAATACATTTATAGCATGAAATTGAGGTTTTTACGAAGTGAATTTTAGGTAGTTCATTAGTATAATGTATAATCCAGTGTCTCAAAATGTTTTCAGTGTAAATAAATGTTAACCTTGTGAAAAAACCACGATTGTATGTACATTGTGTGTTTTTTTACCAAAAATGCCAAGTAAGAAAAAATACACTAGGTATACGTATTTACATAAACTACAGCAACGCGTAATACAAAAGGGGTTAATTTGAAATGAAACATAAAGTAACTTTATTATGGATTTATTTATTTTCATTTACAATTAATCTTTTCTACGGACAGAGGTGAATGACTCAAGTTATAAATGTATAAATATGGAATGTGTAAGTACCTAGTGACCGTGACAATGCGACGAGAATACTAAGAATATATTATGTGTCTAACATTGATATAATTTTTAAAAATACTCTATGTGATATAATTTCTGGTCGACCGATAATGTATTAAAATTCTCTAATGACTTAAAGCTTATTTATCATTATATACAAAAATCTAGAAAGTAACGAAATATTTACACATAGTTATCTACTATACACATAATTATATTAGCTTTATCGTTATTTATATATATAAATTAAACCATTATCGTGTTACCAATTATGCTTTCCTTGTCAAGAAGTTCAGAATAGCCGGACTCATCGCTACAAGCGCTATCGTTATCACCGACAGTTTTAAATACATCAGTCTCAGTGCTCGAGTGTAAGCTTTCTACGTCTGTAAGGTTTTCCATTAGCGACTCAAATTTCCCTTCCAAATCAGCATCAGCACGCAAGGGTGGATACGTCGATCGCCGTCGAAAACCATTTCTCTCTCCAATAGGTATGTGGTTAACCTCATCCGAAGTGAGGCTTAAATCATTTTCGTCATCCAATCCGCGAATGGAGTTTGGATAGCTTCTCTCATTTGCTTCGTAAGTTGGTCCGCAAAACGCTGACGCTCTCTCCTCATCGCTGTCGTCCTTTTGCTCTTCGGGGAATTGTGGAAGGGAGATGGGCTCAGCGTCAGAAGAAGTGACCGTGCTGGCGGTCTCACATCCTGAAGAAACTGACCCGTCGTCGCTATCAGTGACGAGGTAGTTACTTTGTAATATTAAATCCTTTCTATCAGCCATCGTGCTCAACTCACCGATCTCAGCGATCACTTCTAGGGGCTTTAACACAGCTTCGATTTTATCGGATTCGTTTTTAACTTGGTCCTGTTCTGCCCTCATTTTACTTTCTTGTACTAGTAAATTAATTATATCATCGGTTGCCTTTTGCGAGCCTTCCGATTCAGAACGTACTCTTTTAATAACAGTTTCGGGGCAAGACATTTTTCTAGGCGACTTTATTTCTGATCGCCGCCTGTCAAGTGTTTGTATGTCATAGAAGTTTGATGCGTTGTCATTCTTTTGTTCAGTCAATTCGGCTTCCTCTTCGTCTTCTTCGGAACAGAGCTCTTCTATGGCTCCGAGTTTGGGAGCTGACTTCGATCGTTCTAAGGGTGGTCGATAGTTTTGAGCTCCAACGCTAAGAAGAATCTTTCTGCGTGGCATGCTAGGGTTTTCGTAAACGCTGTTAGCAAGGCTGAGCCTAGCGTTCTGTTTGCACATTCGCTCTTTTTTGAATTCAACTAGGGCTTGTTTTAGTTTAATTTGTAGTTCTTCTGTTATTTTCTTTGAAATTGAATCTTTGGTGCAAAGGACGGCGTGGCATCTCAGTTCGTGTTTTAATTTCTTTCCCTCGTGACGGTAGACCCAGCAGAAGAGTTTGGGATAATGTGGGGGACTTGTACAGTAGGTGATGCGGTGAGACCAGTATTCGGTGAGTCCGTGTTCTTTGGTGATACCTTTTAGGCCCGAGTTAGTTACAGATAGCTTCATGACCACGTCAGGCTTTGTCGACTGCTGATAATTGCGCCAAAGAGTCGCCAGCGGTTTCTCAATGCAGCCTTCACCTGGAATGCAGAAAAAAACATTGAGTTAAGATTTATAGATAAATTATTCATAATATTTTGCAATGTAATATAAAAATGCTAATAATAATTTTATTAATATAATTTTGCGAGGCTTCTAAAAGAACAAAAGACTTAAGTGTTATAGTTAAATAGACCATGTATTTAGGGCAGTTTGCGTGGGTTTCGCCTACGTGAATGTCATCTGTTGTATCGGATTGATCTCGAATCTGTCAGTAAATAGTTTGCAGGTAATGTCGAGGTGAACGAGGCATGCCTCTGTATAAGGTGCACGTGTATGACATTGTTTCTTTATTCATTCGATTGCGTGCTCAAGTACAAGTCAGCTATAAGTAATTTATCAGATACACGAACGATATTGCCTATGTTAAACTAATGGTGACAATAGGTTTCTGGGGTTTCCATTTGGTATTTTTGTATTTTCCTTAATTATATAAGTAAGTAAGTCAATATACTACACATAAGATATAGTTCTCGAGTTAAGCCGACAAACCAGCTTTAAATAAAACACTTTAACGGTTTAAAACGCGATATATTAGTTAAACTTATTTGAAAATGATTTTTAACTTCGGCCCGTTTCGGATGCTTTGCAGCAGCCGTGACCACGGCCGTTTTAAATCATTAAAGTGTTTTATTTAAATGTGTACTACTCGCGTAAATTATAGACAGTATTTAAAACAGCTTTATTTTAATATTTATTAGGGAGAAAGACGAAGTTTCTATGGGAAGTTAAACATATTCGTTACCTAAAGCGTTGATTCTAGCCACTACAGTTATCATTTTATTGAATATCCCGAGATGCACCCAATTTTTATAGATATAGGTTCTACTATAACTACCACTATAATATTTTAAAAATTAAATTATTATTTACATTTTATTGCTAATACTAAGATTATATAAATTAAAAATCTATTTAGAATGAAAAAAAATACGATATGGGCGGGTATTCGAAGGCATCCACTACTTATCATTTTCTGCTCAATTTTAACATTTTTTTACACCTTCGTTATTTTTTAAAATCTAAATAGATTTACTTTTAATTTACGCACAATAAGGTAAACAAGTTATTAACTAAATCAATAATACGAATATGTTTGACTTTTGACGGTGGGATGGAACAATGTTTAAATAGAATCATTTTAGATTTAGTCTTATTATAGTCAAGGAAAATATATCAAAAAATGCTTCGTCTATACTAGACACGCTGTCCTTGAACAGGTACATTCCATACCCCTTCACCCCAAATTACATTTCACCTCTTCCGTGAAGCAATACAAGTAAACGAACCGTGAACGAGGCCAACATGAACTATTTTGTTATAAGAACATGTAAGAGATACGAAATACTAGGATAATATTATAGAAATGTATTGTACACATTTAAATACTCTTAGCGGTTTAAAACGCGATGTATATGAGTTAAGCTTAAAAATTTATTAACTAAAACCCGACGTTTCGGATGCTTTGCAGCAGCCGCGGCACGGTCCAGTCACGGGGAGACTCCCCGTAATATATATCGCGTCTTAAACCGTTAAAGTATTTTATATAAATATGTATTCATATTATATGTGTCGGGAACTTTGTCTCAATCAAAGAAATAAAATTCGTAGAAGATACCTACTCCTTAAATACGGTGTACCAAAAAACAGGTGTGGTTATTCGAAATAAATTATCACATACAAATTCACGGAAACGTCTGTTATTTAACACCGGCCGCCATTATAACATTTGCATAATAATTATCTCCTTGTATTTTCAACGTGTGAATAGATGCGGGCTACAATATCAGGCTACTAATTGTGTTATCGCTATATTGTAACTAATGATTCAAATATCAAACTTGACTTTTTTTAATGATAGAGGAGGATAGACATTTGGTTTCACTTGATGATAGATATTTAAATAAAACACTTTAACGGTTTAAAACGCGATATATTAGTTAAACTTATTTGAAAATGATTTTTAACTTCGGCCCGACGTTTCGGATGCTTTGCAGATCATAGATCATAAAATATGAGAGATTTCAATATTTTTATAATAGTACAATACAATAAAAGTTTACTTCTTTGAAAACATTAATATTTTTTCACATGGACTCGGTAGCTTAATTGGTAGAGCAACAGCACGGTACGCTGACGATGCCGGTCGAAGTCCTGCCCGAGTCGAAATTTTTTTCAATTTATTTTCGATTTTTAAATTAAAAAAGTTTACTTCTTTTATCTTACATCTTCATTCCCTTTCCTTTTATATTGACGTAATAAAATCAGGCCTTTCTAAGGCAAGTCGCGTGCCAAATGAAATGTCATCACATTTTACGCGGCGTTTTTTAAAAGATGAAGTGATTATCAACAAATTTCCTACAAAAAGAACCTCTCCAGAAACAAACACATATCATACCTAAAAAATCGATTTTAGATTGAAAAAATGACAGAACACGGGGAGGGCTAGAACATCATCATCGTCGAAATTTTTTAACTTACGGAAACGCAAGTTAAGGTTGAAATTACATTACGCGAGGGGTGCATGTAAGTTTTTTATTTTCAACGAAAATCATTTAATCTATAAACGCCATTATAAAATATGAAAGTTTTCAAATATCAAATCATATTTAAGCATAAAAACGTTAGTCCAAACTTGGTTGCTTTATTAATATAAATCTTAAGATTTTTTCCACTTTACAAATTACATCATGGAATATAAAAGATAATAATCCATCAAACCATATTACATAACACACGCATTGTAAAAGAAGTTCTCAAATAACGTGTCTTGCATGATGATAACATATACGTACGTGTAATAAATAATAATAAAGTATTAACGAGACAGATCGAGAGCCGACGAGTTGGATTAATAAAACAGACACAAAAAATCGTCTGTGCCTATAGTGGAAATGGTGTAATGTTGCATGGTATGGCAACTCAACAACGCGTTGATTATTTGAAGTATACATTGGGTTCAATCCCTACCTTGATCCAACATTTGTCTAATAAACTTATTTCTAAAACATGTTAAACTTAAAATCTGCATATTAGATAGATGGTAGATATCGAAATTTCGTCCGAGTCCGTACCGCCATCCACAGATAAAAAAGTCAAGTTTAATCGCGTTGATTTCCAAATAATTAAAGTCAACAATCTATAGCGCATCTTAAAAAAAATAAGTAATACCAAGATCTAGATTCTGATTTGTGTAAAACTATACTAGCTGTAACATTTATAATTCAGTCGTTTTATCAAGTTATTACTAAAAAGCTAGTTACGTCGCAATCTAGGAGCATTTTTGTATCTCGTTCATCATATAACGGAACTCTAAAAAGAACAATTTATAATACATTATGCAAGCGACTATTTCTCACGAATATTATAGAAAGATATGTAACCCTATTACTAGTCTAAGACGAGAAAGATAAATTACTTTCGACATACGATCAAATAACATATTATAGACAATGGTAGACAACCTGTCATGCTTATTTCATCGAATAACAGTTAGCATTAAAACGCGTTGTAATGTTTTAATCTGTGACACATAACAAGAGCTATTTAACGGAACCAAAGTGTTAATCGTAGTTTTGTTTGAAAGTATCTAGAACATTAGTTATGTATGTAAATAGGTGTATAATTCGGAAACCGTTGACGGTGGAACTAACCTGAACGATTTTTCTTGAAATTAAAGTAGGTAATCAGGTTTTTGCAAGTAGAACAATTAAAAAATATGGTGGAAAAATTGATTTGTTGTAATAACTATTTCCTTAGAGTCCGAAGTTCACGGCTGATAATCGAACTTCTTACCCACAAAAGTAGTCACCGAGATGACTCATTCTGAACACAAACTACTCCTACAGTCGCCTAAGTATGTATCTTTATCGTATGTATCGTTTTTGCTTCCGATGCCTAAAATAGGTACGTACATAATTACACAATAATTAATTCTCGTGTAATGAGATTTATGAATAATTCCTACAGTTCCGGAGCATGTGTGTTGTCGGCGCATATTAATATTGAGTAACAGTTACATCACATGTGACCACCGCATTATGTAAGGTAACGGTCAACGAATGACTGAGAAGAGGAATGTCTGTCTTCCGTAATGTTGTAACTTGTGAGCTCCTACAAATTGTTTAGAATATGACTTCCTCTTACGTTCCTTTCCAAACTTGAAAACAGTTATCATACTTTGTCTATGGAAATGTTAAATTTGACAGAGTCATAATCTAAAATCTAGAATCTATTGTTGAATGCCTAGGATCATATCTCGAGCAAAACTCTTGTATAGATTTCGCAAATTCATTTTAAGAATTTAATATTCTTCTTATAAAGAGGAAAAATAAGAAAAGTAAAAAAATGCACTTCATATCTTTCCATACGAACGATAAGTATACTTACAAAATACACTTAAAAAAATTATTTGAATTTAAATACCATAAAGTTTTAAGTATTCTTTTTAACTGCGTACCTTGTGACCCAGGTTGCTGAATCCGATAAAATTGCAGTTGAAAATAAGTTAACAGATATATATTTCGCGTTTTAAGCCGTTAAGCGTGTTTTATTTAAACATTGTCGCAATTACAAACAACTTTCACTTGATTGCTTCGAGGATTTAGGGTCGTTGACTTATCACATTAAATAATATCTATGATGTAACTATTTTTGTAATTAGCTTATTAGAACAGTTCTACTTTTATGAAACAATTACTATTGTTGTTTATTTTCTTTATTTAATTGATTATTTATTCCCATCTTAAAATTAATGCATATTTGGCCTAAACAAAGCCTTAAATAGGTACGAAAACAGCCTTTCCAGACTAAGCTGATGTCGCTCAATGCTTACAGTGTGAAGGGCGTAACAAGACAAGTGTGCTAACGGGTCATGTTATTCCTGAACGATTTAGCAAGGTGGCCACGAAAAAGGAGAAAAATATTTTGAAAACGTACGAGTATAACGTTGTACTATTAGGAAAACAAAAGTTTGTCCTTT